CAATGAATGAGAATGACTGTTAGAAAACAACTCATCCACTCAGACATGGTCACTTTTGATCATGTCCAGAACACAGAGGGCCCTGTGGCTGTAGCAAACCCAAGGGCCCCCTTCATGTGTCACAATGTTTTTTATTTTTATTTTTTATATTTATTTTATTCCCCTTAAATCTCCAGCACACAGAGATACAAGGAGTATGCATACTAAATATTCCAGGGCAGGCTATAACATAATAAAAGCATGAATTCATTAACACCATATATATGAGGTCAATGCGAACAGGTTTGCTTGGGCTAAGATTCAGCCCATCCGGCCCACATGTTTCCCCATAAATGTTTTGCTGGGGTTAGGGCCTTTAAATTGGACTATTTTTTATTTTTGGTTGATCAAATTTTTCTTGATTTACGCACCTGAGAACGGACGGGTTATCTTTTTGGAGCTCATAAAATATATATTTTTTGCTTCAAATTGACCTGCAAACATCACAATCATAATAGAAATTCATCATTTTATAGTGTAAAAGTGTGCACACAATCCACAACACATCAGTGTCGACACTTTGCAGGCATTTCCTGAATGACAAAACATCAGAATTTAACCACTATTTCCCACAACTCAACAACAGAAATAGGTCAAACTGACCTGCAACATAATATAAGTGTAATATTTTATGTCTTTTTAGTCTATATAGTATAGGTTACTGGTATATATTAAATAATTTTTCAGCCCCTATTAAACATGCAGTTCATATTTATCAATTAATCCAATAACCACTTCCACATCAAATTTCCAATATTATCAGAGTAGCACAGCATTAGAGAAGAAGGCAAGTGTGTGTGTGTGTTTCATGAATTTAAAGTGGCATTACAGATGCATTTCTGTGTGCAATGGCCCAATTCATTGAAATGTGTTGTTTATTTTCCTTACTGATTAGTTGTTGTAAACATCCATGTCACCTCACATTCACCTTCATTTCTACAGCAGGTTGATGGGTCAGTGTTCATCACTCTAGCTTTAGTTTCTGTCTAATCGCCGAAATGCAGAAACATTACACTGTTGTTGGTCAAGTTATTATCTGATCACACCTCAGAAGGGCCTCATTATAAAAGTCTCTTTGGTGCCGATTTCTTCATTTGCTCCAAATGTTATTTTTCCGAGTGCAAAGAGCGGAGGTGCTAAAACAAGAGCGAGAGTGATATCCTTATGTAAGACGTGCACCATCTGATCAGTTGAGCTATTCATGATCGTGTGTGTGTGTGTGTGTGTGTGTGTGTGTGTGAACGGATGTGTCTTATTAAGGGATGGTTCAGTACACCTGGCTAAATAATCTTTGCGTTTCTATCATGCCTTTATTTGGCAGCCGTGATGAAATGAGCTGTCTGCTGTGTTTACTCTGTGGTCATCATTAATTCATCTGCTCATCCTGTATCGATCTGCTCCCCCGTTCGGCTAATTACGTCACTCGTTTTGCCTTCACAGAACCCCTGCGTGTGTCAGGCCAATTAGACGGGCCAGATATCCACAGTAATTACAACTCTCTCTCTCTCTCGCCCCTCTTTCACTCAGATAGTGGCATGAGATGACTGCTCACCTCGCAGAACTGAAATCATGTCTTCCGTTACAACAAATGTTGACACAAACATGCTGAATAGATGCCAGATCAATAGATGTGGTCAGATTGCCAGTGCTGCTTTCTGAGCTTTGATGCTCTTCAGAGTTTATGTATGATCATTTTCTCAAATCTACAGTAGTAAAACATATCTCATTCATTTTTTTTGTGTATTTCTTCCCTCTTGCTTGAGCTGAATATTGAAGCCCAGTGGTCGAATTGTATAATAAAATTCAGGGGGCATGGTATGGTCAAGTATTTCTTTGGTGGGGCGGGGGGTCCTGTAGCTAACTTTATACAATGATTACAAAATTTTCTTATTTTTAAACACATTTTTATTTAACAAAATATAAGCTTTCTTAAATGAACTATGATTGATAAGCTGTTTTTCTTCTGGGGCCTGAAATTTGATATTTTTTTTAAACGAGGAATTAAATTATATGTGTTTTTGCTGGTATCGTGGCTGATTTAGGCCTGTCTTGGATAAATAAAAATGACACTGAAACCACCAGTAGGTGGCAGCAAGTCCCTGTTTTAATAAAGGATTCACTGAATCATTCAGTCAAACGATTTGTTCTAAATGGCTGATTCAATTAGAAATGTAGCAAGTGACTGTCTTGATGAATGGATCATTGAATAATTGGCTCAGGATTCATTCAAAAACAGATTCATTCAGGAACGAGACCCTGCAGTGTTGCTCTGCACTGTTGTATAAAAATTAATAGCACATTTGTGATCATGCACATGTGCTGATATTCAGGAAAGCACTCTTGCTTGTGTGATCAATTAAAAAAAAATCATACAGGGATTTTTTTTTCTTTCATAACTTGAATTATAGGGACATTCTAACTGCATTCTAATAGAAATCATCATGCAGTGAATGCTTTCCCACTCTCAAGACATGACTTTGTTTTTTCAGTGACATACTCGATAATATCATTTCTCAGTATAGTGTGTCCGCCCCTCATAGTCACACATACAGCACAATAATATTATGTCAGGGGAAGGTCTTTAAACTCTAATCAAGGAAATATCATACCTGCTGTTGTCATCTTTTCCTCCCTCAGTTCGAGCCCTGTTGAAGCCTTTAACTCAGTATGACAGGTTGAAGTCAGCTTCTGATGAAGTATTAAAATCCTTCTGAAATGTCAAGGTGATATGACTGTCTGGAGCAGACAGAGTCTCAAGAATTCCTTATTAATAACTTGATAAAGTCTGAATTGAAAAAACAAAATCTTAAAAGAATAAAAAACAGTGAAGCAATTTTGTTTTAAAATAACCTGTATCATTAAAAGCAACATGCAGGATTGAATGTTGAACATGACTGAAAACCCATGTAACAGTAGATAATATCACAGAGAGGTGTCCTTTAGACCCTCATAGTCAGAATGCCTCTTGATCAGTAAAATATATTGAATAAATCTATAACCTTATTTGACGTGACAAGATACGTTCAAGTTGTCAAATTCAAAATGGCCAATGATCCCCTAAGAAATTCATTATTCAAACAGATATGAATATACTTTTGTCATAAAAAGTGTTTGAAAATTATATAAATTATTCCGATATGGAAACACATTTTAAAGCTCTATTAAAAATGTTGACAGTTACACCACTTGATATTTTAAAGTCATTGAAAAAAAAACATGTTGAAAAGGGATATAAAGGTTCTTCAAAAATGTTTAAATACAAAAGTAATTATTATTTCTATAGCCCTTTTCACATACAAATTTGGCTATACTGTCAAAACAAATCAACATTAGCTATCTACGTTAATATATTGGTCGGACTGTGAGAATTAAGTGTCTTTGAGTTCATACTGGGTTTACAGACAGACATTAGTTTAGCAACAGTCTGGGAGTGGCAGCGGTTTGTCCTTCGTGAGGTTCTGTGTGGATGACTGAAAGCCTGTGTAGACAGTCGTTGAGTTAAGACGGTCACTTGGCAAAGGTTGCAATATCTAAGAACTTGGCTCATACATTTTAAATGAATTTTTTCCTTTTCGTCTTAGGTATAGATTTGTCCGACTTAAATATGCTATTAGTAATTTTGGGCTGTCTTTGCTAAATTAAATGAACATCTGGTTGATGATAATCTACTTAATCTTACTTTTTCATTCTGACAATGGTACAAGAACAACACTTGAGATGTGAACGATAAACACAATACTTAGAGATTTGTCTTGCTTGATATCAGTGCGGCCTTTGATACAATGCATGAGATTATTCTCATTCATGGACTTGAACAATCAAAGCTGATTAGATTGTTTACAGGG